GCTTCGAGGCTGACCCAAGTGACCTCACAGAGTGAGTTCTCACATGAGCTGGAGTTGGGTTTGGAATTGTGACCAAAACTTCGGCAGTCCGTCTTCACGTCCTGAAAAAGCTAGCTGGCTCAGCCCGCTGTGAGCTGGAAACTTGCCATTCCATTGAAAACGTACGTATTTCCCTAGCCTTTGTGTCCCCTAAGCCAGAATGTGACCTCCCCGCAACAGTTCACCCACTAACCAGCACGTGCTAGCCCGCCAAACAGCACCAGGAGGCCAAGCATCCAGTTTTCCTCCGAAACTTTAGAACGACTGTACTTGAATTTCTCGTTCAGTAGGAATGTTTGTTTCTAGATAATGAACTAGGCATAGATGAAGTCTTGGCACTCAGTAGCCCATGCCTCTAGGAGTTATGATCCCAGGAGATAAAACTGATTTTTCAAAAATAATTAATACCCCTTCTAGTTTTCCCAAAGGCATCTCCGGGTGGTGCAAGTCGTTAAGCACTCAACTACTAGCCGGAAGGCTGGCAGTTCAAACCCACCCAGAGGTGCCTCGGGAGACAGGCCCGTCAATCTGCTTCCGAAAGGTCACAGCCTTGAAAACCCTCTGGAGCAGTTCTACTCTGCACACACGGGGTCGCCGTGAGTCGGGATCGACTCGACGGCAATAACAAGGACAACAGTTTTGCCAAAAAATTTGAGGTGGTAAAGATGGAAATTTTTGGCTAATATTATCACACAACTAAATGTTGTCCTTCAAAGGATTCAACTTTGAAAACCTCTACTTATCCCATCCATACTGCTGTTGCTACAAACATTTTTGGAATTCCTCTTTTGGGTTATAATCTGCACAGAAGATTCAGTGGCCTGACCTTGATACAAATGAACTTATCCACCCTGGTGGTTACATCTAGGTGCCAGTCTTAAATGGCTTTTGACTATTTTCAAATATTGAATCCACTCTCAAAAAGGCAGAGCCTTAGCCCCATTACAAAGCAGCAGGTGGACGTGTCAGATGCCCTGGAGATAATTCCTCGCTGGAATTCCAAGCGTGGTTTGATCAGTGGAAGCAGTGTTAGAATGAGGTCATGGGTGACCGCTGTGAGGGGAACAACCCTCTTCTGTGTATTAAAGTTCTGATATGTTCGCCACTGGTACAATAAAGGGGAGGTGGTGGAGTCCCTGGATGATGCAAATGGTAATGCGCTGGGCTGCTAACTGAAAGGTTGGAGGTTGGAGTCCACCCAGAGGCACCCCAGAAGGAAGGCTTGGCCATCTACTGCCCCAAAAATCAGCCACTGAAACCCCATGGAGCACCACTGGCTAACTGGTGCACAGGGTGAGGCACCACTTCCACAGCCTAATCCACCAGGCGCTCCTTGGAAACCCTACGGGGCAGGTCTACTCTGTCGTATAGGGTCACTATGAGTCAGAAGCAACTCGACGGCAATGGTTTTTTTTTTTTATGGGTGGAATAAGCCTAAGAACTAACATTATTGCTCAGACACCCTGTGCCCAGCACACCTTTAATTCCCATAACCACCGTATGAACCAAAACCAAACCCAAACCCGTGACCACGGAGTCGATTCCGATGCATAGTGACCCTATAGCGCACAGTAGAACAGCCCCATGGGGTTTGCAAGGCCCTGGTGGCGTAATGGTTAAGAGCTTATCTGCTAGCCAGAAGGTCGGCTGTTTGAGTCCACCATCCGCTCCTTGGAAAACCTAGGGGGCAGTTCTATTCTGTCCTTTAGAGTTGCTATGAGTCTGAATTGACTAGAAGGCAAAGGTTTTTGTTTTTTTTTAATCTTTATGGACGCAAACTGCCACATCTTTCTCCCACAGAGCAGCTGCTAGGTTTGAACCACTGATCTTCCAGTTAGCAGCCAAGTGCTTAACCACTGCACCACCAAGGCTCCTTTTTAACAACCCTATGAAGCAGGTTCTGTTATTATCCCCGCATTTCAAAAGTAGAAACTGAGGCATAGAGAATTTAGGAGGCTTGCCCAAATCACACAGCTGGGAAGTGGATTCAGACCCCCTTGGCTGAGTGGCACGCCTGTTTCCTTAGCCTGGTCTACACCACCCTGCCTCTCTTCGATGCTTGCTTGCATTCCTACATGGTGGAAAGGGGCAGTCCACCCTCAGCAGGCCCCTCAATGCAGATGGAGCAGCGAGAGATGGTGCATCACCCGCCCCAAAAAGGGGGTGCAACCTTTCCCTTTCTGTGAGCTGAACGCGGCTGTGGTTCTTATTAACTCCACCAGATGTGTCCAGCTGGCTCCCTTCATTTCATTCTAACCGCCAAACACACTGATTCAAGTTCAAAGCAGCCCTTACAGCATCAGGACAAAAGTGTTTACATTTCTAAGCTAACGACCGCCTCACTACCACTCAAGAGGGTGGCTCTGCACACCTGACTGCCATTGGACAGGAAATTGTGACAATAACCATATAAATCAATGATGCAAATGGTGTACCTGGTGTTGTGCAAGGCACAATGTTCCAACTGTAAGCAACCAGCAACCACCAGTAAAAAAACAAACAGTTGCCATCGGGTCGACTCTGACTCATGGCAACCCCATGTGTGTCGGAGTGGAACTCCGCTCCATACGGTTTTCAATGGCTGACTTTTCAGAAGAGATCTCCAGGCCTTTCTTCCAAGGCACCTCTGGGTGGACTCAAACTTTGTTCGCCAATCTCTGCTCTAAATGAAACTGACTCATATATGTATTCTACATACGGCTGTTGTTTAATAAATACTGAGTGTTTATATCTAAGCCTTTATAAGGTTTTTAAAAATTTCTTGGCCAAAAAGTTGTGGAAACCTCTGCCCCTATGGCTGAGATCAAACTCTACAAATTTTGGAAAATCCTGAGGTAGAAGCCGGAGTGTGGTTAGCTGCCATTAAGTCAGCCCCCCATGCACAATGGAACGAAATACTGCCAGGTCCTGCGCCATCCTCACGATCAGTTGCAGATCGGACCCTTGTGATCCATAGAATTTCATTGGCTTATTTTCAGAAGTAGATCACCAGGCCTTTCTTCCCAGGTACCTCTGGGGGACTCGAACCTCCAGACTTCCGGTTAGCAGCCGAGCCCGTTAACCATTTGCACCACCCAGAACTCCCTGTAAGCAGCAGCTCTGCCTAAAGGTTTCTTTCAATTTAGTCAACAGTCTGGGGACCGAAGGGAATCTCAGTACATGAAGCATAGAAAACAGGACCCTGGGGATCTTCTCTGGGCATTCTTCAGCTACACTGACTGATAACTAGTCCCGTGGGTATCTGCATTTTAAAACAGAAGCTTGTTAACCCCAATCAATCGCTAATTAGTGGAATTTAGAGCAGTGTGACGAGATTGATGGGAAGAATTGCATGCAGGGTGAACATATTTTTGGTTGGTGATGTCATCCAAAAGTCCTTTCACAAAATGGTAAGAGTATATCTCTCCGGGCATTTGGAATTAAAGCACCCACATGTAAAATTTCTCATCTGAGCTACGTAACTCTGAGAAGTATTCTGATTCTGCATTTTAAAGATGAGAAAAGGATGGTGGAGGAGTTGCTTTAATGCCTTCAGTGAGCCTGATACTCGTGTTAAAACCAAAAGGAAACGAACCCGTTGCCATCAAGTCAATTCCAATTCATGACGACCCCATGTGTGTCAGAGTAGAACTGTGCTCCACAGGGTTTTCAGCAAGTGAGTGGCTCGTAACTGAAAGTTTGGCGGTTTGAACTCACCTAGAGGAGCCTCGGAAGAAAGGCCTGGAGATCTCCTTCTGAAAGGTCACAGCCAAGAGAACCTTGTGGAGCACAGTTGTACTCTGATGCACATGGGGTCACCATGAGTCAGAGTCGACTCAATGGCAACTGGTTTGGTTTTGGTTTGGATCTTTTGGAAGTTGATCACCGGGCCTTTCTTCTAGGGTGCCTCTGAGTGGATTCCAACCACCAACCTTTCAGTTAGTACCTGAGCACTTAACCCTCCGCACCACCCAGGGATTCCTGATACTGTGTTAGGTGCTTGATATTCATTATCTTATTTAGTCTTCATGAGACTCCTGAGAGTTAGGTGTTACCCTCCTATTTTAGACGAAGAAACCAAGTGTCTGAATGTCTTGCCCAAGGTCAGAGTTAGGACTTGAACCAGGTCAGACTGGTTCTCGGCGCCCTGCTGGCACAGTGGTTAAAGCACTCCAATGACCACTGAAAGGTGGGTGATTCCAAACCACCAGCGGCTCCGCAGGAGAGAGACGCGGCAGTCTGCTGTAGAGATTTACAGCCTTGGAAGCCCTGTGGGGTCGCTGTGAGTTGGCATCGACTCGACAGCAGTGGGTGGTGGCTCTGACTGGTTCTCAGCCCAAGCTCTTCCTAGGATGTACCTCACACTGGCAAACCCGGGGAGCCCATTCAAAAAACTGACTGCAGCTGAGGGGAGACAAGGACCAACATTTATTCAGCACATCCTACGCCAGGACTTTACAGTGTTGGCGTGCAAGCCATTAACGTGCTCAGCTGCTAACCAAGAAGTTGGAGATTCAAGTTCACTCAGAGGCACCTCGGAAGAAAGGCCTAGTGATCTACTTCCAAAAAGTCAGCCACTGAAAACCCTATGGATCACAGTTCTACTCTGATGCCTATGGGGTCACCGTGAGTCGGAGTCACTCCACCACAACTGGTTTGTTTTTTTTTTAGGCTACATATGTATCTTATGTGCACTTCACAGTCACCCTTTAAAGTAGGTCTCATCTCCCCTCTACTGTGCATAAGAAAACTTACAAGTGATAGTCATGATTTAAACCCAAGTCTTCCAACTCCAAAGTGCGTGTTCTTTCCATGACTCAGGTTCTGCAGGCAAACGTCCTGGTCCCTCCCAATGCGGCTCTGTGGAGAGCTGTTCACAGCCCCCATGCGCCTCCAGGGAGACAGAGGACAGTGCCCTCCCTGCTTCTCTGTTTCTTCTCCGCCCTTGCTAACAACCCCATCCCGCCTGCCTTCCCATACAGGTGAGCATCTCCACCGTGGGCTATGGAGACATGTACCCCGAGACCCACCTGGGCAGGCTCTTTGCCTTCCTCTGCATTGCTTTCGGGATCATCCTCAATGGGATGCCCATCTCCATTCTCTACAATAAGTTCTCTGACTACTACAGCAAGCTCAAGGCTTACGAGTACACCGCCATTCGGAGGGAGCGGGGGAAGGTGGACTTCCTGCGGAGGGCCAGGAAGAAGATGGCCGAATGCTTGGCTGGAAGCAACCCGCAGCCCACCCCCAGGCAAGAGAACTAATATTCAGTAGAACATGTGGCTGGTAGATCCCGTGAACTTCCAAGCTGCATTGCTTCATCTTAATTTATTATCAGGATTGTCCATGAAAGGACACGCGAAGCAGGCATTCACAAAGGGCATTCCATTCAGAAGGTTCTACCATTAGAAATGCTCATTTTGGCCCAGACTCAGACTGCCTCGAATTGCTCTTTATCTGTGCTGTGTGAGAGTCTGACCTTCTCAATGACATGGATGTTGAAAACTCCTTGGGAAGAGCAACATCTTAGACTTCTCTTATAGCTCCTCACGGCGCCTAGATCAATAAATATTTTTGGACACTTGAGTCGACTTGAGAAGATTTACCTTGCTTTAAACATAAAAAAAATTCATAAGTTTCTAGAGCAAGGGAGTGTTGCAGCCAGAACTACATGAGATTTGGAGTTAGACCAATCTAGGTCAGAATCCCAGAACTTGCAGCTGTATGGTTTGGGGCAAGTTCCTTTAACCCTCTGAGGCTCGATTTCTTCAACTGTAAAGTGTAGATAATAAGACCTACCTTGTAATACAATCATGAGGACTGGAGATAATATTTGTAAATGCCCAGTAAATGACAGCTGTTAAAATTATTTGAGTGGTTGCTGTGTAGTAGATTCTCTAGACCAGCGGTTTCCAACCAAGGGCAATTTTGCCCCTTATGGGACATTTGGCAATGTCTAGGCCCTGGGAAGGAGCCCTGGTGGCATTGTGTTTAAGTGCTTGGCTGCTAAACGAAAGGTCGGCAGTTTGAACCCACCAGCCATTCCATGGGAGAATGCCGTGGCAGTCAGCTTCTGCAAAGATTACAGCCCAGGAAACCCTATGGGGCAGTTCTACTCTGTCCTGTAGGATCACTATGAGTCAGAATCGACTAGACGGCACACAACAACAACAGATCCCTGGAAGCCCTAGTGGCGTAGGAAACCCTGGTGTGTAGTGGTTAAGAGGCTGGCTGCTAACCAAAAGGTCGGCAGTTCAAATCCACCAGCCGCTCCTTGGAAGCCCTAAGGGGCAGTTTTACTCTGTCCTGCAGGGTCGCTGAGTCAGAGTTGACTTGATGGCAACGGTTTTTTTTTTTTTTTGGGTGGCACAAATGGTTTGCCTTTGGCTACTAACCAAAAGTTGGGCGGTTCTAATCCACCCAGTGGCTCTGCGGAAGGAAGACTGGGGATCTACTAAGACTGCAGCCATTGGAAACCCCGTGGAGCACTGTTCTACTCCAACAGACGGGGGCGCCGTGAGTCGGGGTCGACAGCAGGGTTGGCTTTTCGGTTTTAGAGACATTTTTAATCATCACCACCTTGGTGGAAGGTGGAGAATGCTATTGGCATTGAGTAGGTAGAGGCTTGGGATGCTGCTACATATCCTACACACAACAAAGAATTCCAAAGCCCATTGCCACTGAGTCAATTCTGATTCATAGCGGCCCTATGGGACGGAGTAGAACTGCCCCATAGGGTTTCCAAGACTATAATCTTTACAGAAGCAGACTGCCACATCTTTCTCCCACAGAGCGACTGGTGGGTTTGAACCGTCGACCTTTTGGTTAGCAGCCGAGAGCTTAACCACTGTGCTCCAGGCCTCTTTAACAGAGAGTATTAGGACCCAAAATGTAGATCATGCGTAGGCTGAGAAACCCTGATCTAGACTTACCATGTGAGCCCCAGACTGGGCCTGTGAAGCAGTCCAGAGTGTGCTGGCCTCTCCCTCCCTGGAAAGACGCCCCCACACAGTCCTCATTCCCATGACCTCCTTCCCCTCTCCTTCCCATGAGAAACACTGCCGTTTGGACGGTTGGCTGAGCGCGGAGCAAAGGGAAAGAAATAGACACGGCCCTCCCTCTGGGGCCAGTCTGGGGCTTCGCAAACCAGTTCCCACAGGAAGTGGATCCTTTCTCCCCACTTCCCCGTTTTTTCCTCCGTATTCATCTCTTTCTCTGCAGGACTGTTGGAACTTGAGGTGCGGGAAATCAAAGCCTCGTTTGACCTGAGCAAGCAGAGACTGCCCTTGTGAGTGGGGCTGGCCGTGCTGACGGTGGGATTTGTCTGAGAGTCTGCAGGGGGCTTACCTGTGCTTACTTCCTAGCCTGAAGTGGACGATTTCACGTGGTCTTCCCCACATTGTAAACCCATGCTTACCTTGCTGTCTGGATCATCGCCCCTGTCAAGAGGCTTTGATTCTGTAGGAAGGTGCTGTGGGGTTGAAAGAGAGACAGATGCCAGCCATCCTTAGAGGTAGAATCTTTGATGTGGTGAAACTGTTCACTACAGATGATCTGGCAGGCAAGGTGAGCACCGTGCTTACCTTGCCTATTGGATAGTCCACCTCTTGTTGTGAAAATGAAACGTAATCGTTTTGTGAGTTTTCACAATGACAGGCTCTGTGAGTTACGTGTATAGTATACAACTTCATTTAACCTTTCATGCATCCCTGAATAAGGTATTATGTTCCATTTGTTATTTAGGAAAAGCAGAGGCTTAGAGAGGTTCATTAGTCCAAGTTCACACAACCAATCAATGGTGGATGTTGTTAGGTGCTGTCGAGTCGCCCGACGCATGGCAACCCCATGTGACAGAGTAGAATTGCTCCATAGGTTTTTCTTGGCTGTAATCTTCACGGAAGCAGATCACCAGGCCTATTTCCTCCTTGGAGCCGCTGGAGGGGTGCGAATTGCCGACCTGTGTGTTAGCAACCAATCACAAACCGCTCGTGCCATCTGGGCTCTTTTACAGATGGCAGAACTGGGCTTCAGTCATACATCTGTCTGATCTCTAAAGCTCTTGCTTGCTGTGGTTCTCACACTGCATCCACCCACCTGCAGGGCTTGTTGAAGCACACATCCCCGGCCCCGCCCCTGGGTTTCCAACACAGTAGGTCCCGGGTGGGGCCCTGAGATCTGCATTTCGAACAAGTGTCAGGAGATGATGCCGATGCTGCTGGTACTGGGGCCACGCTCGGAGAACCCGAGTGTAAATCACTCGCTCTGCCTCTCCCACAAGGAGCTGTGGTTACAAACCTGGGTGCATCGCCCTGCTCACTTCTCCCAAGCTGCCTTACCAAAAGCAAAAACAGAACCGCTGCCATCGAGTTGATGCTGAGTCATAGCAACCCTGTAGGACAGAGTAGACCTGTCCCAAAGGGCTTCCAAGGAGCAGATGGTGGATTCGAACTGCCCACCTTTTGGTTAGCAGCCGTAGTTCTTAACCAGTGCGCCACCAGGGCTCCCAAGCCTCCTTAACATCATCATAAATGTGGCTCTGGCCTCTGAAGACACCACTTTTGTAAGGTTGCTAGATAAAATACAGGGTGCCCAGGGAAATCTGAATTTCTGATACACAGCAAATAATTTTTAGTAAGAGCATGTCTTAAATATTGCATGGTACATAATTCTAAAAAAAAAAAAAAACTATTGTTTATCTATGGAGCCCTGGTGGCACAATGGTTAAGTGCCCAGCTGCTAACTGAAAGGTTGGCAGTTTGAACTCACTAGCGGCTCCACGGGAGAAAAAAACCTGGTAAAGATTATAGCCTTGGCGGCCCTATGGGGCAGTTCTACTCCTGTAGGGTCACTACGAGTCGGAATCCACTCGATGGCACCCAACAACAACGTGTATCTAAAACTGACATTTTAACCGGGCAGCCTGTATTTTCATTTACTAAATCTGGCAACCCCAGACTATGGTTATTGAGAGACAAATTTACTACCTACGGATGGAAATTACCCCCAAGTCCTAAAACCCACCCAAACGGCAGGCCCCTCAGCTGGGGCAGGGGGTGAGGGTGGGGGGAGTACCTTCTCTCCTCCGTTGCCAAACAGAAAGGGGAAGAATTTGAATTAGGTTCCTTCCAGATGCAGTCATGAGAACCGAGTTAGGCACACAGGCAGTCGGGGGCTCAGTCTGTATAACCACCACAGCTGCGTGCATCCGCGCCCCTTCCAGGCCCCCGACCCACCTCCAGCCTTCAGACTCCTCCAAGGCCTCCAAGGGGAGGGTTTGGCAGTGAAGTGTATCTGGCGAGGCTCTTAGGGTACTCAGGGAATAGGGAAGGGCCCGAGTCCATCACCCCCTCCTCTGCTTGCGGGCCCAGACCTGCCGGAAGAGACTCCCTGAGCGGGGAGGGGCACGGGGGAGAGGGAGATCAAGGGGAGGAAGACGAACTTTCCCAGATCTGGTCAATGGCAGCGACCCCCTCCTCCCAGTCCCCACTGGCCACATCTGGCCAGACAGGTATGTGCTGTCTCCAAGAACCTGCGACTGACAGATGGACAGAAGGGAGTTAAAACCGAAGGAGCCAAGGTTTCAGGAGCCCCACTGTGTGCACACCCATCCGACATGATCTCATGCAATCCTTCAGCCACCCGGTGGTCGCTTGCAAAGACTCAGCCACATGGAGCTTGACACGGGCTCCGGAGTCAGATCTGGGTTTGAAGCCTGGCTCTGCCAGTTACTATGAGGCTGGACCATATGAAATTGCTGTTTTATTGTAGAGGGAACCATCAAATACTGGCAACTTCATATGGTACAACCTCATAGTCATGTGGCCTTAAGCAGGGCATTCTCTGAGCCTGCGCTGCTTCATCATCAAGATGGAGACGATCATAGTGTCTTCCTAAGACCATGGTGGTAACTGAATGATGTAATGCACTGAAAACCCTTAGCACAGTGTTTGGCACATGTTAAATCCATGTGGATGGCTGTTACGATTATTACCATGATCATCATCGTTAACTATTGTGCTTGCTACACGGGAAAACCATACAAGCCCCGACGGAGTCACTTACCGAGCAAGGAGAAGATTTTTCTGGGCGAAGACAGCTTTTGAATCCTGTTGCCAGCCCCCCTCGCCCATCCAGAGCTATGCACAGGGATCTAGTCTGTCCAGTAGAACTTTCTGCCATGATGGAAACATTTTGCACAGTCTAATACGGTATTCACCAGTCACATTTGGCCACGGAGCACTTGAAATGTGGCCCGTGAGACTCA